AGAAGAAGAAGAAGAAGAAGAAGAAGAAGAAGAAGAAGAAGAAGAAGAAGAAGAAGAAGAAGAAGAAGAAGAAGAAGAAGAAGAAAGAAAGAAAGAAAGAAAGAAAGAAAGAAAGAAAGAAAGAAAGAAAGAAAGAAAGAAAGAAAGAAAGAAAGAAAGAAAGAAAGAAAAGCAGAAGCAGGAGGAGGCAGAGAGAGGGAGGGAAATGGAAGAAGAGGAAGAGGAAGAAGAAGGAAGGAGAAGGAGGAGGGGAAAAGGAGGAGGAAAAATGGAGATGGAGGAGGAGGAGGAGGAGGCAAGTTTCCCTGATTGCAACATGCCTTGACTTCCCTTCCCTTCCCTGCAGCTGGACTTCTCTACCCTTACCCCAAAGACTGCTCCCAAACTCTGCTGAATGGGGAAATAGCTTCTGGACTGTACACCATCTATATCAACGGCAACCAATCTCAGCCTGTTGAAGTGTATTGTGACATGAGCTCTGACGGAGGCGGATGGATTGTACGTAGTTCTCTCTTTGGCTTTTTCCTCCCTTCTTAAAGTATTTTTGTGTGTGTGTAGCATGTCTGTGATTTGCACCAGTGCATGGAGACCCTAAGAAAGGGGAGAAGCTTCTCCCATGCTTCAGAGGGACTCCTACGGAGCCCAGAATGGACATCTAATCCAGGCTGTGTCCAACAGGCAGATGGATGAAAAAGGCTGCAGTTCGTTCTCTTGTGATGGTACGATTGCAAATCCAGCTAGCAGATCCCGGATCTTCTCTGTAGCTTCTCTGTATATGAAACCCTTACAGTAGACCAAGGGTCTTCAAACTTGGCAAGTTTAAGACTTGTGGACTTCAACTCCCATAATTCCTGAGCTAGTATGACTAGAGGAGGAATTCTGAGAGTTGAAGTCCACAAGTCTTAAAGCTGTCAAGTTTGAAGACCCCTGCAGTAGAGTGTTGGATTTTTGGATCACCTCAGGGAGAACAATTGACCAGTGGAACAGAAGTTGCCTTCAGAAATCATGGGCGCTTCATCCCTAGAGGTTTTTAAGAAGAGACTGGACAGCCACTTGTCTGAAATTGTATAGGTTCACCTGCTTGAGAAGAGAGCTGGACTAGAAGATCTCCAAGGTCCCTTCTAGCTCTATTCCATTCCATTCCATATTCTATTCTATTCTATTCTATTCTATTCTATTCTATTCTATTCTATTCTATTCTATTCTATTCTATTCTATTTCTACTCTACTCTATATTCTGTTTTGTTCTGTTGTTCTATTCTAATTCTAATTTTTAATTTCTAACTCTAATTCTAATTCTATTTTGTTAAGAATCCATATTAAGGAAGGTTTAGTAACTTGTTCTTATCAGTGTCCTGCTCAGATCTTGTTTACAATCCTCTAAAATGACCGCGATTGCATTGGGATTTCCCCAGGTCTTTTTGAGAAGGCAGAACGGCGAAGTGGACTTCTACCAGAATTGGAGGACTTACGAGAGTGGTTTTGGGGATCCCAATCATGAATTCTGGCTAGGTACGTGGCTACAAAACTTATTGAGTTAATCAAGATCTGTTGGTTCTTCTAAATGAATATGGAGTACTTCAAACTCCTGTATGCTTCACTAGAAGGACAACATCCAATATGGTTTTGGTGTTATTTCTCCCACATTCTCGGCCTTTCCAACTGGGGTTGGGGACCAGATACCCCAGATTATAGTTTCACTCATCTCTGATCTGTGGCTATGCAGACTAAAACCCATAACACATAAAGTCCAAATCATGGGCAGACTCTATAGACATGGGGAGAAACTTCAAATGGTCTTTCTCAATCAATAAAGGTCAATGGACAGGTCAACGATGAAGGTCAACGGACAGAGATACGCTTGTTAGATATTAAGCACCACCCCTTAAACACCAAAATTATGCCACTCTTGTTGCAGATTTTGAATGTTCAAAAAACAACCCTTACAGATGAATGTTTGAATTCAAATGCATGTTTTCCTACAAACCCTTAGAGTTGAAGACAAGTAACGCAACAATGGCCATTGGACAATCCAACCATTTAATTGACAGCCTTCATTTGTTTGTTTCTGCAGGGCTGGAGAAGCTTCACCGAATCACTTCCCAAGGCCCGTATGAGCTGAGGGTGGACCTGAGCGATCGCGACGAGACCGCCTATGCTCTCTACAACCAGTTCACCGTGGGGGATGCCAGGACACGCTATCGGCTGAAAGTAGATGGCTACAGTGGTAACGCAGGTAGATCTTTCTCTTTGTTCTGTGGAAAGAAGGATTGGCAGCTAATTCTTTGGGATCCTCGGTGAGCTGGGTTGTTTTCATGCAGACATTTCATGACCCGGCTAGGTAACCTCATCAGTGCTAGAAGGGAGTGGGGTTTGTGGAGAGAGGAGGAGGAGGGGGACTGTGTGGTCCTTGGTGCTCTCTTCCTCCTTGCAGACGTTTCATTACCCAACTAGGGAACATCATCAGTGTCCTACGAATGCATCCTCAGCATTGATGATGTTACCTAACTGGATCAGGAAATGGCTGCGAGAAAACCAGCACCGAGGGCCCCCACAGTCCTCCTGCTCCTCCTCCTCGGTCCTCCTCCTCCTTTTCTCCATTCCCTTCTAGCACCAGTGATGATGTTACCTAGTTGGGTAATAAAATGTCATCAAGAAAACAACCAAGCTCGGAAAGCATTGATGACCCCACAGTTCTCCTCCTTCTCTACCTCCTCCTCTCTACTCCTTCTCCTTCTCTTCATAGACCCAAGAAAACAACCAAGCCCAGAAAGCACCAAAGACTGCACAGTTATTCCTCCCCTTCCTCCTCTTCCTCCTCTTCCTCCTCCTCCTCCTATTACTACTACTACAACAACTCTCTGCAAACCCCACTTCCTCCTGGCATTGATGGTGTTACTTAGTTGGGCAATGAAACATCTGCAAGAAACCCTGATCTGCAAATATTCTCTTCTGTTAGCTACTTCTGTCTCTCGTTTTGAAAATCCAGAGCTCCATGACCTAATAGCAATAACAATCACCATAACTATATGACTATCCTTATTTGTCGGTCAAAAACATTATCTTCTTCCCATCATCTAGGTGATTCCATGAATTACCACAATGGACGCTCGTTCTCCACCTTTGACAAGGACAATGACTCCGCCATCACAAATTGTGCCTTATCATACAAAGGAGCGTTCTGGTACAAAAACTGTCATCGAGTCAACCTTATGGGTCGGTACGGAGACAACAGTCACAGCCAGGTGAGTCATTCTGGATGAGTTCTTGTGCACCCATTGGCCTAGAAGACATTCTGTGGCATTGTCTTCAAGAAAACCAACCAAGCTCAGAGGCCACCAAGGACTCCCCATCACTTCCCATGGCTAGCTAGCTACAGTCAATTTGGCATGACCAACTCACTGTAGGACAACTTGCTCAGGGACAAAAGCTATACTAATATCAAAAAATCAGTGGAACAGAATTGTTAAGGAAAGGGTGCAAAAGGAGGGACACAAGGAAACATGAATGGCAAAAATTAAACCATTTGTATCCATTTTAAATAATTCAACAGAATTGGTAAATTGTCCCATGGCAAGTTTTCCCACAGCAAGTGGGCCCTGGCAAGTTGGATGTTGTGAGTTGGTCATGGTGAGTTGGCCATGGCAAGTTGGCCATGGTTATTTGGCCATGGTTAATTGGCAACGGCGAGTTGGCTATGGTTAATTGGCCATGGCAAGTTGGCCATGGTTAATTGGCAATGGCGAGTTGGCCATGGTGAGTTGGCCATGGTTAACTGGCCATAGCACATTGGCCATGGTTAATTGGCCATGGCGAGTTGGCCATGGCGACTTGGCCATGGCGACTTGGCCATGAGTTGGCCATGGCAAGGTGGTCATGGTGAGTTGGCTATGGCAAGTTGGCCGTGGTGACTTGGCCATGGCGAGTTGGCCATGGCAAATTGACTATGACAAGTTGTCCCATCATTCCCTCCCCCACCCCCCATGCTCCTAGTCCGATTGGACGTCCCTTCCTCCAACCTCACCTTACCGCTTTTGTATTTTGCAGGGAATCAACTGGTTCCACTGGAAAGGCCACGAGCATTCCATTCCATTTGCGGAGATGAAGCTACGGCCTTCCAGTTTTAGGAATTTGGAAGGAAGGCAGAAGAGAGCGTAAAGGATATCTTACTTTTTTCTTTCTTTCTTTTTCTTTTTTTGGCATTGACCGAGAAAAATGGAACAAAAGGGTGGACATTTTTTTTTAAAAAAAAGAGCCTTTCTCCCCACTCACCCCAGAAAAAAATTGAGAAGAGAGAGAGAGAGAGAGAAGTTGGCGACAAAGCTGGGAATGTGTACCAAAGCATCCGTGTTGTATGAGAGCCCATTTTTGGCTCTCCTTGACCAGTTTCTATTTTTTGTGTGTTTGGGGTAGGGTGGGGTGGGGGGAAAGCCTCATTCGAAATGTAGCGTGCTTGGTGGAGCATTCTTATTTTTTTTCCTTGTCCATAGATGGCTTTCTTTGCACCAAAGAAGATTATCTTGGAAGAGGAGGGAAGGAGGGGGGGACATTTTTCTATACAGTCTTTTATTTTTTTTTCCTCTCTGGCTGGAGGGTTTTTGTTGACTTGAATCTTTTCTGAGTGGCTCAGAGGACCAGGAGCTGAGGCTGCAGAATGGAAGGACTTCCGTGTTGTTGTTTTTTACTCTCTCCTCGCTTAACAAACCAGCCACAAACACACACACACACACACAGAGAGAGACACACAGGTAAATTGTGTTTGTGTCTCCATTCCAAACTAGTAGTTCACTCTCTTGGAATCTCTCTTCACCTCCATCCCTTCATCCGTCCATCCATCCATTTCTCAGAACCAGGAAAACGGGAGGAAACGGTTCTGCCTAAAAATTAATATTATTAATATAAATGGGGGGAAAAAAGGGAAAATTATAATAATAATAAGCTAAATTTGTGTCATTTTGTAAAAAACAAACAAAAAACAAATAGAAGCCCATGCTTTCTGAAATCCAACGGGATGGTGTCTGATTGTACTTTTTTTAATTAATAAATAAAAGCACAACTTTACTTTTATAGACATTTCTGGTTTGGTTTTTTTGCCCCAGGACTGTACACTTTGTATGCAAAGCCAGGGTTGTGTCAGATTAGGAGTGTAATTGTAGGTTTTGTGTGTGTGTGTGTGTGTGTATTTGTGTATTTGTGTATTAAATAGATGCAGATCAGTTTTGATTCAAAACACCCATTTCACTCAGACATAAAGCAAGAACTTTAATTTTCTTTTGGACTATAGCTCCTTCCTTCCCTTCCTTCCTCCTTCCATCCTTTCTCCTTCCTTCCTTCTCTCCCTCCTGTCCTCCCTCCCTCAGCTTTCTTCTTTCTACATTCCTTCCTTCCTTCTTTCCTTCCTTCTCTCTGTCCTCTTTCTCCTTCTTTTTGTCCCTTCCCTCCCCCTTTCTTTCTTTCTTTCTTTCTTTCTTTCTTTCTTTCTTTCTTTCTT